TGCAGGAAAAGTTACCCTGAAAATTAAAATATATTTTAAAATAGTTGGGAAAACAGTTTGCATTACATTTTTAAACAATCAGCTGCTTTCCACTGAATTTTAAGGTCAGTGATATGATAACACTGCTTAGAAGAATTTCATTCATGTCTGCTAGGTTACCATGGAAGTGAACTGAACTAAACTGAATTTTGTAATGATGTAATAGGTAGCTGAATGGTTATCTTTTAATGAAATCATTTATTAAAATGTTCGCGACGAACAGATAGGCGGGGTATAAATGGAATAAATAAATTAATAAAATTGGTGATTATGAGTCCATAAGCAGATTCAGCCAATGATTGTAATATTTTGAGTTTACAAGACTTTAACCCATTATTACTATAACATTCTATTTAGTAGCATTCTATATAGAATCACATTAGAGAGCTGAAGCTTGCAAAATTAATGACCATAACAAAAACTTTATCTGTAAGATGGCAATTTGCCAGATTTTAGGTTACAGGTTCCTAGGCTGCAGGTACAATAGAATTTTATTGGACTTCCAAGATCTTGCAAAGTGCATAACCTGCAAATAAGGTTTGCTTATAGTAAGGAGAAAGGGGGAAACAACTTAAAGAGTTACGAATGTGGAGAGATAGGACACACATCAGGGCATTCAACCCTTCATAACAAGATGGCTCTATGATGTGCTACACACACTGGATAGCAACAACAATTATGGAGTAGAGCAGCTGGACACAAAGGCAACTCACAAACGTAATCAATCTTCCTCCATAGGTTGTAACTGGTAAATGGCTGGTACGATTGTATTATTTTTCTGTGTGTGTTCTTAATATGTGTGGCGACCACCCATATCACTCATGTCTTTCATATTCATGAGCTGATTTGCATGAACCTATGAGAGGGCTGGAGAGGTGGAGTCAGCAGCTACATGAGGCTTGGTGGGAGAGGAGCAGAAAGATAGGGCTGGTTAGTCAGGAAGATAGGGTTGGTTAAGAAAATAGAGAGGGTGGCAATGAAACTGCCAGTGAAAAGAACTATGTATTGAGGGAACTGTTGATGGATTGCTTATGTATACTGAATATCTGAAAAACTTCTGTTAATACTCATTCTGCTTCACTTCAATAAATAAGTTCTGTTTCTGTTCACAAGACAAGTGTTCTGACATATGTCAATTTTATATTATGGATTGAAGTAATCTGGTGGCAGCGAAAAGAGAATGTGACGTTAACCTTTGTGAGGGAATAATGAACAGGGGCCATGTGGATAAATGTCACAATATGCTTAGAGACTAAGTAAAATATTTTACTTTTTATATTTTTATTTATAAGAATTTTAGTATTTAAAGAGATGTACTCCCTGATTTTTAAATATGCCTCTTGCCTTTTTAGAATGTAAGTCTATAAGCGAAATCTCATTGTTCCTTTTCCCTAAAAGATATGCTCCTGTATTTTATATCCAAACATAACTTAAGGTCTGCCTTTAACACTTGCATTCTTTTACAAGTTACAAGGAAGGATTTTTCAAAGTATTTGTGCCTAGAGTTTTCATCATAGCTGTAAGCTTTTTGAACGTTACAATAATGGCAAAGTATTTTATACATGTGTGGGATGTGGTGGCGCTGCGGGCTAAACCACAGAGGCCTTTGTGTGCTGCAGGGTCAGAAGACCAGCAGTCGTAAGATCGAATCCATGTGACGGAATGAGCTCCCGTCGCTTTGTCCCAGCTCCTTGCCAACCTAGCAGTTCGAAAGCATGTAAATGCGAGTAGATAAATAGGTACCACCTCGGTGGGAAGGTAAACAGCGTTCCGGGTCTAAGTCGCGCTGGCCACGTGACAACGGAAACTGTCTTCGGACAAACGCTGGCTCTACGGCTTGGAAACGGGGATGAGCACCGCCCCCTAGAGTTGAACACGACTGACTAAAATGTCAAGGGGAACCTTTACCTTTATTTTATACAGTACATATGGAACACAGAAGCAATGTAGATAGAAAAAGCTTGTAGCAATAGACAAGCTAATGTTGCCTGGAATTATTGCAGCTCCCAAAAGACTTATATTATGATGCCCAGATTAATGCAAATATTGTTTGGTTTCATTTTGGAGTTAACCCTTTATTGAGATGAATGCCAGCTATTATGCACACAGGCTTCTGATTTCTCCCCCCACCCCCACCCCTGGAGAGGTCTATAGGTTTCTGTAGGACTCCTGAGAGGTGTGTATGCCAAGTATCGGTTCTCTGATCTGGCATGTACTTAGGTCATGTTACGAAAACTATGCTTGTCCTTTTTTCTTAGCTGGATGATGATAATATAATGTGAGAATCTACATTGTTATTACAGTAAGGACCTCCTTCGCTTACCTGGTTTGGAAGATGTGTTCAGACAAGTGTTCTGATTAGTTTTCACAGTAGTTCACAAAACAATAGAAGAAATGAGACAGTGTTTTAGGTCTTGAAAATAGAAGGGAGTTCTAGATTTAGAGAGCTGAGAAAGTAACCAGAGCCCAGTCACCTGCCTTAAATAAGGAATGGCAAATCAGACTGCAGAACTGAACGTATAATAAGGATTGTGTGTCGACTGTGAAGAGGCACAGAATTCATCCCTCTAGGAAGCTCATTTCAAAGAGCAAATTTCTAATCTATAAGATTATAAACGGATGTGTGAAAACATCCATCTGATACATGGTGACATCCCAGAAGATGGAAGGAAGCCAATCGGGATTTCTGGTGAATAAAAGAGTTGCTCTTGCCGGCTGAATAGAATTTTTTGGACTGAAGAGTGACCAAAGATGAAGTATTAAAGTGAATGGATGCAGTCAAGAAACCATGAAACGCATACTGTATAATGCAAAAAGCAAGTTAAGTAATGACTTTACTTTGAGAAATGAATGGGAAATAGAAAAGATAGACTATTACTGCTGGTAATTCAGAGTAAAATAAATGGGGAAAGAAGTGTGGGAAGGAGAATAACATTTTGGCTGAAAACATTAGAGACTAATTTGGCTGGAACATATAATCATGACAATAGCCATGATGACATCCATCCTTTGCTGGGAGGAAGAGGAGTATGAAGAACAGGAGCTTAGTATATAGCCCTTTAACACTTTTGTAGGGCAGTTAGAGTAGAATAAATTATAAAAGTAAGCAATGACATGGATATGCACTTAAGTGTTATGGATATTACAGTTAACAGAGCATGCTGAATGAAAGAAACTACTTGGGAGATCAGGGATACTGAATACAATACTTCTGAGACAGTATGGATTCCTATGCCTGAAGTTACTCATCTTAATGTTGTTCCATCCAGTGGAAGAAGATGGAAATGACTTTGATTGGCCAAACAAAATGAAAGGAAATACCTTGGAAGAAAAAACAAACAAACCCAAAGAAAAGTGGTTGTTGGATTTGACCTGTAAGGCAGAATTTAGGTTCTGTACCCCTCCCCCAAAATTTGTGTGACTTTATATGTTGTGCTTGCACTTTATTTCTCTTGGTTATCATGTAATTGGAATTGCACTCCAACAGGGGACTCTCAACAGTTTTTTTCCCTTACAAAATGTGGATGTACAGCCTGAGAAAGACGGGTTAATGTAGAAAGCTAGCTGTTTGTTCGGGTTCTTTTAGTGGTCTAATAAAGGTATGAGCTGCTCTTAATTTGTTTTATGTAAGGACTACATGGCATTTTCTAATTTATTTTGCCTT